CGGCGTACTGCTCGTGGCGCCGCGAAGAGAGAGAGGAGGCTCCATTAGTTCTAAACTCCTTGTGCACGATGCAGGTGCCATGGATGGTCTCTAAGAACAGATAAGGGTCGTTTCGTGTGAAAACTGAGCGAAGCCATGTCATCGAGGGCTGTTCAGCCTGCAAGTGACTTCATTGAATCCGAGCCTGCTCATATAGTAGCCTATTCGTTGAATTTAAGTTATTTTTATTGACTTTTAGGAAAATAAAAAAATCTGGGAATTCAGCCCCTTTCATTGAATTCAAGTTTGTTGAATCCAAGTTCCACTGGATATATTTCATGAAAGGAAAAAGATGACTTTGACATGTACTGGACATAGCAGTTCTTGCAGACATAAGAGAACAATGCTTTCAAAAAAATTGTCAAAATTAACCCAAAATGGGGGATTTTACCAAGTTTGGGCTAGCCTACCTAGTTATAGTATAAAGCGTTTTCTGTTATCACCCTTACTTCTGCACCAGCCATGACAAGATGGTAAGCATTACAAGAGATAGATAAGAGTGTATTTGGAATTGCGCATGTACGTTTGGGGTGGGCTTGCTTTCTTGCTGATCTGGTGAGTCTTATTGAGTAGGTTGTTTCGTACTGTACAGTCGGTAAAACTAGCGTTTATTTTAACTCTTCTAGAGCAGAGTTCATAATGTAAAAATGCTGATCAAGTTAACAAACGCAGTCCTTCCTGCCTCCACAATGTTAGAGTACCCACCAGTCAAGCTAACTGATGCAGGTGTTTTTACACCCCCATCAACACAATTTAGATAATTTAGAAGGAACAGTCTTCTACTATACCTGCCAGGGCCAAATCGGGCTGAAAGGGATACAACGTTCTAGCAGAAAGACCGGGATACTCGATAAAATTTCTCCCGACACAGGAATCAAACTAACGTGATCTCATTCACATTCACGTGCAGTCTATTGTAACAGATGACATGGTCCCCTCATGCCCATAACATACACCTAGGACTTCCCTGACAAAGCTGAGGATTCCAGCAGTGATATACTCACGCTGTAACTTTAGTTTTAGTAAGGTTTTACGGCACTCGCAACTGCATAAGGTCATATGAGCACCAAGGGGTGGATGTCAACAGAGAAGTTGAAACGGGGAATCAGGCTTACTCTGCTCACCTCTCTAGCCTCAACAGCACAAAGTCTGCTTCGACTATCAAGGCACCCCGGAAATAGCAGTTCACAAGAGAGTGACAAACATACAAAAGAAGAAGAGGCAAAATGACGAAAGTAAGGATGAAGAAAGAAAAAGCAGCAACTTAAAGTAACGACGCAAGTACAAAGCTAAATCCAACCCCCCCCCCACTAAAGCAATCAATACAATACAAAAAGGAGGTTGAGAGAGAACAAAGATCTTTAAAAAGACCCAGGATCGCTACCTGGTTTGCTACAGTTTTCAGTACCTGTTGGCTGAGCTTCATAGTGGTGGAACCTGTGCGGTAGTAGCTCTCATCCCCTTTGCAGCAGTAAATCACTTTAGGCACGGGTTTGAATGAGATCTCTGTAAGACAGAATGCAAACAATGATAAAGACTGAGAGGCTTTTGTTTGGCATTTTCATACATGATCTATCCTTCACTGTACATGCAGCACTTCAAAAAATTAAACAATACCAGGAAGATTAACATGGCTTTGAGCAAAGATGAAATGCAAATTCACGATGCTTTCCATATTTTTTACAGGCCGAAGGGCTCGAACTCAGATGGCTGCTGGATCAAAAAAGTACACTTCTATCCATTTTTTATCCAAGTAAGAGAAACATCTATCCCCATCTAGTCCCACCCTCAAAGTGTTTTAAGTAAAAAGAACGAAGACGCAATATCGGTCATTTACTGCTGGGAAAAAGTAAGACAGACAGAGATACAAACACCAGAGAGAAAGAAAAGACCTATCAAAGAAGCTCTTTTCTTTTTTTTTTTTATAGTAGAGGGTTTTACTGCGCTCGCAACTGCATAAGGTCATATGAGCGCCAAGGGGTGGGTGTCAACAGAGAAGTCTTAACAGGGAATCAGACTTAAGACTGCTCACCTCTGTAGCTTCAACAGCACAAGGTCTGCTTCGACTATCAAGGCACCCCAAAATAGCAGGTCACAAGAGAGTGACAAACATACAAAAGAAGTAGAGGAAAATGACAGTAGTAAGGATCAGGAAAGAAAAAGCAGAAGTTCCCTGTTGTAGATCAGGCACAGTTAAGAGCGTGACATGAGTCAGCCCATTTACAATTCTACTATGCTTGAACGAGAAATGTCCCCCCTTTGAGAATGGCCAAAAGGTGGAACATACATTTCACAGCACTACCAACACAATACCACCATGCACAGTGTACAATTTGAAAATGAAACAAATACACAGGGCAACATGAACAACAGGCATTGAGGATACTCACCCACGACATAGCGGTTGGCGACACGAGCTACGTGTCGCTCTTTATCATCTCCGACCCACTTCACCACAGGCACATAGATAACCTTGAACTGTGAGTGCAGCACGGTGGGTGTCAGTCGTGACATCATTATCTTGTCCACGCCCAGTCTGATATCGTCTCGGAAGTCATGTGACAGCTCCACGCCATCCACCTGGCCTGTCTCCGAAATGCCCAGATAGATGGTACCTTCGTGGCCTAGAGACAAACGGGTGAGATGACTGCACTATAAGAGTGAGTTAATTTTGTTCCTTTTACGTAAAGAGAAGCAAATCACCATGGTAACAACTCTTGTGCATGGAAAAGGTAAAATAGATAAAAGGAACCAACAAAGAGAAAGAAAAGAAAAAGTTTTTTAGTTTTAGTAAGAGTTTTACCACACTTTCAACACAATTAGAGCATACAAGTACCGACGATTAGAGGTGTTACAAGAGAGTAACAAACATGAAAAAGGAGGAGGAGAGATAAGGACAACAAATATTTGATAGGAAAGAAGGAGCAAACCACACTAGGGCACCCGCCAACCACCCACATAACAGTCCTAGTCAATGGAAAAGGTATGACAGATAAGACAAAGAAACGACAGAGGGAAGAAAAAAACAAACCCCAACCTACTAGTAGCACCCTCCTACCACTTACTTTACACCCACAACAACATAAGGTAAGACCTTGATGATAATTGCAGTTTAAACAACAGTGAAGAGATATCATTGTTGAGTCACCAAATCTTAACCCAAACTATACCAGTACTATATTTTGAGATCTTTTTATAACGTGACATAAGAGCCAACAGACAACAATGACCTTGGGTCAGGATTACACTTTACGCAAAATGCTGTAAGTGGTATATGTGTTTTTGTGACAGTATCCATAATGTCTGTGCTCTTTTGCTCAGTCTTCACAATGCAAACTTCAGATCCTTTCTAATAGACAAAAATCATGATAAATAATTTAAAATGGCATAAAACATACCAACAAAAAAAAATCATTGATCGATAACTTCAATTTTTCTTCCTAAAAACCACCAAAAAAATTCTATCTAATGTGATCCGACAAGAGCATACCTGTGTTCAGCATCCCACAGATGACAGTGGCAAATGAGGCCATATTGAGCTGGGCAGTCTGGAACAGCTCATGACGGTCATCAGGCCGGAACGACACAAAGCTTTCTGAAGAAAAGAGAATAGGAAAATATAACGTAGAGAAATTTTGCTGATGACAACATCACGAAGGTGTGGACTGGCAGTGTAGCGACCAAACATACTTTGACATTGCAAAGAGTCTATATATTCAATTCACATAACCATGCTCAAGGTTAATTACAATAGCTACATTCTTAGAAAAAAATACATTAAATTAATTCACATAACCATGCTCAAGGTTACAATAGCTACATTCTTAGAAAAAAATACAATAAATTAATTCACATAACCATGCTCAAGGTTACAATAGCTACATTCTTAGAAAAAAATACAATAAATTAATTTTCAAAGGGAAACCCAATAAAAAAATTTATTAATAATTACTATTCCAGTCGCTGAAGGAAAATAGTTCAAGAAAATTGTCAAGTTAATCCAGAAAAAGCCGTTGGAAGCTTGGACTTTATGGGCAAAGACAAGACAAAAATTAAGTCAAAAAGAAAAGAAGGACATATCCATTTATAACCCTTCTTACAACTCTAGTTGAGCAGAACCACCACAGACTGCTTGCCAGAAATAAAATCAATTCAATCTGTCTCATACTGGTGAAGCACCAACTTCCAAACTGAGTGCAAAAGACACTGTGTCAAAATTGACCAGCCATGTTCACACCAAAACATCTAAAGCTGGCATAGACACTTGAATACATCAACGAAACTTTTAGAAATATATTTCGAGACACATCAGTTTCATTAATAGTGGTTGTAAGACAAGAGCGCAAACTTTATTTTCTTACCTGCTACGTAGAAAGGGACATTTCCATTCTTTAGACAACTCTCTATGTCCATCACCGCTCCATCTGAAAAGGGACAATCAGATTGATCTGAGCAGAGAAGATATGTGAAGAACAGCCGTGCATTTCATCAAAAACACCATCTGGCTTGTTTCAGTTTCCCTGGAACCCATTTGGTTTATTCATCAACACCACAGCATTATTTTTAAAACGGATAAAAAAGATTACAAGCCTTTTACCTCTCAGAAAAGGCATGAATTCTTTCTTTTTGTAAATGATTGTGAATTTACAATTACCCACTGCCACAAATGAAACATTTTAAGGAACTGGAGGATTTAAAAATGTGAAACAATTCATTATATAGAAGAGAAACACGAGAAACTGAAACTTGCCAGAAAATCTCTTGACTGATTCAGGGATTGTAAATGTTTAAAACCACAATGGACATAATTAACATCATTCACGACCAACATTAGTTGTGTGGAGTACACCCCATCTGAAAGACACGGATAGACAAATGGAAATAGATCTCTCACTTGAGAATTGAATAATTCAATTTCTTTCGTGAGCAAGGCAAAGTGCACAGCCATTACACCAAATGCACCAGTGCATCAAGACTGTGAACTCATCTTAGCCAGCCTTTATGGATCTGCACCATGTGTTCCTGAGATGAACTCTTCCGTTTTCTTAACACTTACAGTACTGAAGGCTCATACAGAGGAAACCCCTCAAGTACCACACCAGTTTAGAATGCTGAAACCAAGATAGAATTTTAAAGAATTTTTAAAAACGTTCACAGCCAAAAAAATACGCTTTAAAAATTCAGAGTTTCATCAACCATTCAGCTTTCATATAGGGCAACTTATTGGGTGGTATTTACTTCAACAAAGTGGCCTCATTTGTTGTTTAATTATGTTTAGTGTGCTGGTCAAGTTGGAGACCTAGGTCACCAGCGATAATGAGAGCATACTACGGCCTGGCGACAAAATTTGCAGACCGTACTAAAAGTGTTAAAGACTCCAGTTCAGAGCCAGTCTTGTGACATTTTTGGGATCCCTACAGAACATACATCAAACTTACTTCTATCAACTCTAAATCGGATTTTGTACAGCCCAAGTTCCCACTCAACAACAAGATCTATGCTTTTTATGATCAATATCATTACCCCAGCAGACCTAAAAACATTCTGAAACAATCTGAACTTCCTGGGAAGCACATATAGGGCACTGCCTTCCTTCTCCCTTATGTCTAGGTCTAGTCTAGAGTCTAGAGATACGGTGTTCGCACTTCATTCAATAGGCCCCAGAAATCTGCCAAGAGACAACAAATTTTTCTTCACTAAATTTTTTTCCTTTTACGCCCTTCCCTGTTCTCTAGTCCTGTTCTGTAATCCACTTTCCTCTTCACCTTCTACTCCGAACCCCTGGCTGCATCTGGGCACATATCTGCTTTGTACCTGACTCTTGCTGCTGCTACTCCGTAACTCCTGGCTCCTTCTTAGTGCTGTCTTTCAGCCACATCCCTGATCTCAGGGTAGAAAAGATCCCAGAAACTAACTTCAGGGTGTGGGTGGTAGGCCGATGCTCTGGTGTGGCTTGCTTCTTCTTTCCTATCAAACATCTATCCTCCTTATCTCCCCTTCTTCTTTTTTTGTTTGTTACTCTCTTGTAACACCTCTAATCTTCTGGCGCTCATATGACCTTATTCAGTTGCGAGCGCCAAAAAACCTCTACTAAAACTAAACTAACTTCAGGGTCCCCACCAAATCCTGGAAATTTTTTTCAGACCCCAATTTGAGGTAAAAATAAAGCCATTGCGCGTCAAGAATGATCCCCCAAAAAGCCCATCTATCAATTATAAAAAGTCAAAAAGTCTTTAAATAAATGCATATATACATTTTGTGGTATAGTCTTCAAACAATAGATGATTATAATACTGCGTGACTGCCAACCCAGCTTCTCAATTTTCCATTGGGGCTTCATCCATTTTCCAGGGGCATGTAACAGAACAATGAGAGCATGTGCTCCATTTATATCTATATATTATATATATATATACATGTTTGTGAATACACACACACACACACACACACATGTAGGTACATTATATCCAGTCAACAACATGTCAGCGAGGCACTGGGATCTTGGGTGACTTAGGTATTTCAGTCTGTTTTTACTTATATTTTCCCCTCATCAAATTAGCCTACATAAAGTGTATAAAAATGAATCCTGTTTTGAGCCTCAGAAAAGACCTAGAACCAGAAAATCAACTGTCAATAACCAGTCTGGGTGTCATGATTCATATAATAAACGTGAAGATGAAAACTACTGCTCAAACTCAAAGTAGAGTAATAACTTGAAAGGCTCAAGTAGACCTTTTCAGTGTGAGAGGTGTAACTTAGTGTAAGAACTGAGGGAGGGTAAGATGCAGTGACACTGAAAATCTGCCAATCTTGAACAGAAAGCTGAAATATAGATAAATTACTATCCCCCCATCCCATGAAACAACACTCTAGTTCAATAACAAGGCATGACAGATCTCGATTCCCCACAAGGCCAGCACCAACGTGCACTTTGCAGAGAGCTCTTATAGTAGTTATCAAAATTCTAAATACGAAAAATTTGCTTCCAAGTTCAGTTTTTGTCCTCTAGCATTGTCTTCACACCCCCCCCCCCCCCTATCCCCCGAGTGTATCTTTAAAAAAAATATCAATAGACACTTGTATAACTTTCTTTTCACAAGTGACAGCACATGACAAATATCGATTTACTTTCATAGCGACACAGCGTCTGTAACGCACAACCTGCATGTCACAAATGTTGCGTTATCTATCAGACTATTACCGGAAAATTTCCTGACTTTTTCCCCGACTTCCCGCACCATCACAAAATTTCCCACTTTTTCCTGATTTCTCAACCTGGCGGGGACCCTACAGTAACTTTTTCGGAAAAGAGCGAAAAATCTCAGAAGTCCTGTTGAACAAATCAAAGATCTTTTGGTGGTTCTCAAATCAACAAGAGTAGGCTTCACACCTATGAAATTCAAAATTAATTCCAACTAAAACTGAAAATACTTTCCTCAGTATAAAAACAGAGTACAGTCAAACCTGCCCTGATGGCCACCTCTATAAGACGGCCACCTGTGCAAACGGCCACTTTCCATTTCCCCCCTTGCGTTTTTTCTATATAATTTAACTGTGTAAAACGGGCACCTGTCCAATGCGGCCGCGGCCACCATATTTTAACACACAACCCCTATTACACAATAACACCTGTCTTAGATGGCCACCTTAGTGACTCCGACCCATGTGTTTGTTTTAACATGGCACTCGGTCTTCCTCGTCTCATACATTTAGTTTTATTGTCACTCTTGCGCAAAATCAGCAACAAAATAAAAATAACAAACAAAATACAAACCAACAACAACAAAAACAAGAAATGCGGCTACTTTCGATTGAAACTTCAGAAGGGAATGGTTTGTTTTCTTCCTCTTGATCAGTCCTGCCTAAGACGGCCACCTGTCTTATACGGCCACTTTTCTCCTCGACAATGGGTGGCCGTCTTACACAGGTTTGACTGTACCTTCAAAATCAAAATGCAGCTGTCTGAAGACAAGGGGGGGGGGGGGGGGGGGCCACAAAGCAGGAAAAACAGTAACATAGGTATACATCAGTCGCACTACACGTTGAAGAACCAGCAGTCCACTTCCCCCAAAATCTAGCAAGGGAACGAACAGAAGATCCCAACTGATGGTAGCAAGACCCACGAAGGAAACGAGACTAAATTGAAAAAGAGATCACCATCTAACCAGCTTTCCACCCATCCTAAAGCAAGAAACCCCCCTGGGGCTCTCGAGGTGGAGAGGTAATGATGTTCGCCTTTCATTCACAATGTCTCGGGTTCGAATCTGGACAATGACGGAAAATTTCCTTCTCTAAAATGTTCTCCTTTCACCACCTCTCTCTAACAATGTTCTGTCTATCTGTTTTCATCTCCACTTTCTGCTCCCATCCCCTCACCTCCTCTGCCCCCTCCTCAGGGCTCTTGATTCTTTCAGCAGCTTTTCTATTGCTACTCCTTGGCTCCTCCTTACTGCTGTCTTTCAGCCACACCCCAGATCTTATGGTAGGTAAGATCAAACTTGGATACAGGCAAAAAATCTCTGTGGTCCCATGTCCAAGCTGCGTACCAAAATCGATAAGATTATTAAGAATAGGCTTTAGCTGCCACCCGGGCAAAGTTAAAAAATTTCCTACCACATGAAAAGTCTTAATAAGTCCCACACACTCATATGACCTTACGCAGTTGGGAGCGGTGTAAAACACCACAAAAAAACCCCAACCCTCTAGCCTCCAATACCGCTGAAAGATTACATTTTAGACAGTACAAAAGAAACAGAATTCCTCTCACCTTGAGCGACATGCGGAAAGAAGTTGTCATCAGCGATGCCTGAGTCATCAGCATCCTCGTCATCACTCTCTTCCTGCACAGGGTATATAAACACACAAAAAAAGAAGTATTAAGTGTGTCATCAGCGATGCCTGAGTCATCAGCATCCTCGTCATCACTCTCTTCCTGCACAGGGTATATAAACACACAAAAAAAGAAGTATTAAGTGTGTCATCAGCGATGCCTGAGTCATCAGCATCCTCGTCATCACTCTCTTCCAGCACAGGGTACATAAAGACACAAAAAAAGAAGTATTAAGTGTGCAAAAACAGGGCCATTAACTTAAGTAAGTACACATAGTCCAAACTAGGGACATACAGTATAACACGGACAGATCGAACACAGAAGACTCGAAATCACGCATCTGCCAAACTGTGCCCCTGCGGACCAGGGG